AGATATATAGAGAGAGTGACAGGGGAGGTGTTCCCCCCACACACTGTGTATGCAAATACCGGGGAGATGGACATGAGAATTCTCAGATCAGTGATCTGTGCTAGAAACACTCCAGTGGGACTCAGCTACATCTGATCACACTAAAACATTATACTCACAGCTGTTCACCTAAACTAAGGGGGTTAATTATATACAAAAAAATCTGAATCAGAATAGAAGAATGCAATAACCATTTTACCATCCTTGACAGATTCTGGATATATGATTTTCTATGATCTGCAGCTCCATCTAGTGGCTACAGTCTAGTATTGTTTCTGAAACACCTCAATCAGAAAATATGTCATATTATGACATTATTAGGGAATCTCTGTATTTGAAAAAAAATACATCCAGAAGGATGGAGGAATGCTTGTCACATTCATCCAATGAATGTTTTATAAAAAGACCCCTAAGTGACAGGGGAGATGTTATTCTCCAGAAGCTGTAATACAAATTAAGCAGAAGGATGAATTAAAATCCTGTTGATGATTAAATATGAGCACCTTAAGATAATTATTTTTAAATGAGCGATCAACCATTTCATATTCAATTATTACATTTATTATCATCTCCATGTCCATGGAAGGGACTGATAGGTAATCCAATAACTGTTATACAATCTCATATTCTGCAATGGAAATGTGTGCCGGGTAGCTTTGATAAATGATGTCAAGAATAATTTTTTTTTCTTACAGAGTCTAGTGGTATGATGTCCTAGTGGTGTATCCCGAGGTGATACATGTCTGCTTTACTCTGAATATTATTCTGTACATGACCACATTTTTTATGTTCCTGAATTAATTTCTCTGTCTGGTCACAGCCCCGCCCCCTGAGCAGGTCCAGATTTCTATACTCCTAAGTCATTATTATTGGTCCCCCCTATGATCACAGATCTTAATATCTATTCAGTACTCCTTGATATAACTAAGTGAATCTGAAATATTATTTATTACCTACATTTTTGTCTTAAATGGAAAATAATTAAATGAGAGATATTTTATCAAGAAATTTTTGTCTCACTAATTATTGGTCTTTTGTGGCCTTCACAAAAACAAAAATCTGCCTTGTTTAGGGCTCTTTCACAGGTGTCGCAGTGCCTTCTGTCCTGTAAAAAGTGGTCCATGATTAATTGTTTTTTAGAGGGCAGTATAGCAGCAGCTGCCAGGCATTCAGAAGACCATCCTGCCACAATATGTCACCTTCTGTGGCTCCATGTGGTGAGTGTTCCTCCTAGACCAGGGGTCTGCAACCTTTAAGACATAAAGAGCCACTTGGACCCGTTTCCGAGAGGGAAAAAAAAGACTGGGAGCCGCAAAACCATTGCAACATTTAAAACAAATCCGACACTGCATATATTGCAAAAAGCGCTCTGGTCATGAAGGGGGTTTAAGGGCCCAGTAAGCAAAGGGTTAATCAGGGCCACAGTGTATCGTCATAATCACAATCATAGCCTTAGGTCAGTGGTGGGCAACCTTTTTTTTCAACTGAGCCAAATCTTGCCAAAACCACGATTGAAATTTATTTTGAGAGCCACATTTTTAAAACTGAAAATACATCCCCCATATAGTAATTCATCCCCCATATAGTAATTCACCCCTTATATAGTAATTAATCCCCCATAGTAAATCATCCCCCATATAGTAATTCATCCCCCATAGTAATTCATCCCCCATATAGTAATTCATCCCCCATAGTAATTCATCCCCCATAGTAATTCATCCCCCATAGTAATTCACCCCCCATATAGTAATTCATCCCCCATAGTAATTCATCCCCCATATAGTAATTCATCCTCCATAGTAATTCATCCCCCATATAGTAATTCATCCCCCATATAGTAATTCATCCCCCATAGTAATTCATCCCCCATAGTAATTCATCCCCCATATAGTAATTCACCCCCATATAGTAATTCATCCCCCATAGTAATTCATCCCCCATATAGTAATTCATCCCCCATACAGTAATTCATCCCCCATAGTAATTCATCCCACATAGTAATTCATCCCCCATATAGTAATTCATCCCTCATATAGTAATTCATCCCCCCTATAGTAATTCATCCCCCCTATAGTAATTCATCCCCCCTATAGTAATTCATCCCCCCTATAGTAATTCATCCCCCATATTAATTCATCCCCCATATTAAGTCCCCAAGTCCCCCCTGTGTCAATTCACTTACCTTTGCTCCGCGCGTTCCTCTCGCCGTGTTCCCGCACCGTTCCGGTGTAGCATGAAAATCTGTCTCCTATGATGATCTGTCCCCCTCGAAGTATCTGCGCATGTGCCAGTTTCAGGCATTAGCAGCCGATCGGCGATCTCCGGCACATGCGCAGATACGTCGAGGGGGACAGATCCTCATAGGAGACAGATTTTCATGCTACACCGGTCTTCAGGGCAGACTGTGAGAGGAGCCTAGCGGGAGCCTAGCTCCGCGGGCCGGATTAAAAGGTCCGCCTGGCCGTAGTTTGCCCATTGCTGCCCTATTGCCTGTCACCTGGTGGGCAGTGTGCTCCAGAGCCGCAGCCAAGGTGAAAAAGAGCCGCATGCGGCTCTGGAGCCGCGGGTTGCCGACACTCGTCCTAGACATTAACCAAGTGGCTGAAGACTGCCCCCTGCTGGAGAGAATATAGTATACAGTGGAGTTTTGTCTATTTCTCGTCTGATATATGCTGTTTGCTGCTTTTATATGCTGCTTAAGAGCTGGTGAGTGCACAGTGGTGGCGGTGGTTGATTGATAAATGTATTCTTTGCACATTTTTCACTAATTTAACTTTAGTGATTATATTTTATGTTTAGTGGTGCTGCATATTTTATGTTTTGAGGGAAAAATACAAAAATACTGAGCATATTCCTATAACTGCAAGTAGGGGAACATATTCCAAGACCACTAGTATCAGTTAATTTTTTTATGTGCTACAGGGAAAAGGTAGGGAACCTATTCCAATAAGTAGGGAAAAGTGTTCAAAGACCACCAGTAGATGGCAGTATCAGTCCATTATTTTATGTCCTATAGGGATAAGGTAGGGACTATCAGTGAGTAGAGACATGTACACACAGGGATGGGTTTGGCAGGTATATGCTCCAGGGTAGTGATAAGCTTCAGGCTCAGGTTGAACTTGAGTTGGACCAGAACATAGTGGGGTTTATTTACTAAAGCTGGAGAGTCCAAAATCAGACTCCCTTCTGCATAGAAACCAATCAGCTTCTAACCTCAGCTTGTTCAATGAAGCTTTGGCAATGAAACCTGGAAGCTGATTGGTTTCTATGCAGAAGGGAGTCTGATTTTGGACTCTCCAGCTTTAGTAAATAAACCCCAGTCTGTCCAGGGTCTAGTGGATAGGTGAACATTATTGCCAGATTTGGACAGTCCACTCCCAAACCCCAAAATCCCTGGACGCTTTGTTCACTAACAGTAGCAGGCCAGGGATCTCTCTTTTAATTTCAGTAATTACAACAGCAGGTGTTTCTAATCTATAAGAAAGCAACTGAATCTGGCTTTAGAGTCTTTTTTTGTGAATTTTGAGGATCTTTCAGAGTGAATCTATTCACAGTAAAAGAAGTTACAGAGGTCAGTGAATGCTTGCTTTAAGCCCTTAGGGCTAATTCACTCTATGTGTGGTGACTGGCTTTTTTCTGCACTCTAAAATGCACGTCACCAATAGGACACACAAAAAAAAAAAAAAAACATTTTTTTTTCCTGTATGTCCTATTCACAAAGCAACAAAGCCCAGATCATACTTCCCATACTGCATTTTATTGCAGCTCGCTGTACAGGATCGCTTGTGACTATATTGCACTGAAACGCATCCTGCTGCTGTACAGCGACATGAATGGAGTGTAGTTTTGTACATGTTAAATTTGTAAAAAAAAAAAAAGAAAGCTATGTGATGCACTAAATTGTGCACCACAGCGCCCCCTACTGCAGTCGGAATAGTAAGCTGCCTGAGCGGTACAGCGCTCCGGAAGCTGTCTATTTCAGTGTGAGTTTACCCGTAATGCCTGAAGGTAAAATAAATCTTAAGGTCAGCTCACACCACAAAAATGTCCTCCAGATCTGTTCCAGATGCATTTCTGCATGAATGTTTTAAACGCGTTTTTGATGCATTCTGATGTGTTTTTCATGCGTTTCCGGATACATTCCAGATGCTTTTTTCCTTTTTTTTCCCACTGTATTGTACTGGGGTCTGGTGCATTTTACCACATTCCAGAACATCTCTGTGCAGGAAAAAAGCATCATGTTGTAGTAGTTTCTTTTTTCTGTAACTGACTGCGCTGGTATGAACTATGTCATTGGAACCCATGTAACATACTTTCCATGTGTTTTTGATGCATGTGGCGTGAACTGGCCCTTAACCACTTCAAGTCTGGACACTTTCACCCCTTTCCTGTCCAGGCCAATTTTCAGCTTTCAGCGCTATCACACTTTGAATGACAATTGCACGGTCATGCAACACTGTATCCATTTTTTTTTTATTTTTTAGCATTTATGCAACACTGTACCCATTTTTTTTATTTTTTAGCATTTTTTTGAGACAGATAAAACTTTATTTTGGTGGTATTTATTCACCTCCTGGGATTTTAATTTTTTTGCTATTTAAATGAAAAAGTCCAAACATTTTGAAAAAAAAGTGTTTTTCTTATAAAATTTTGCAAATAAATCTTTCTTCATAAATTTTGGCCACAATTTATTCAGCTATCTTTTTAGTAAAAAAAAAACCCAAATTAATTTGTAACCAAAAATTATAGTTTTTTTCAAACATTTTTTTAAATTTTTATTTTTTTATTTATGTTTTTTTTTTTTAACACACCGTCACCCTAGCAGTACAGTGTCACCATAGTGACACTGTACTACTTGTGGTGGGTGATGAAGATTTCTTTTCTTTTTTTACACTGATTGCTTTTACACCCATAAAGGCTGTAAAAGCAATCATTTCTCCTCTCTGGCTGCATTCTTGCAGCCATTGAGAAATACTGTGAGAGCTGTGATTGGTCACAGCTTGTCACATAGTACAAATCTGTTGTGAATAGCCTTGTACCATGTGACCTCTGTGATCATTCACAGATTTCACAAGTAGTAAGCAATGATGTCAGGAAGTGACATCTCATTTACCATTGTTCTTGTGATCACTGATTGGCCAATCAGTGATTACATAAATCGAGACCTCACACAGAGGTCCCGTACAGCGATCGGTGTTCGCGCTGCCACACGGTCCCAGGGAGCACGCACAGGTAGTGAATGCGGACACCTTTCATAAACGGCAACCCACTTCGGCACTGCTCCCGTCCGGCCGTTTATGTACATGGGCCAGACGGAAAGTGGTTGTAAAAGTAAAGTTTGGGGTTTTTTTACCTTAATGTATTCTCTGCATTAAATTATAAAAACCTATTATGTTCAGTTCTTCCTGTAGCTACCTCCCTAAATACTCACCTGAGCCCGATCTCGGTCCAGCACTGTGCACGTCTCCAGGAGCTCCTCTACCCTTTCCTGCCTCTCACAGGCTTGGCTGAGTGGAGTGCGTGCCATTGGCTCCTGCTGATGCTCAGGAGGAAGCTCGCATGAGGGGACCACCATAGAAAGTGGCTTCCTATGGTGGGCACTCGGCGGGGTCACAGGGCGGACTGACCATTTGGGAACTCGGGCATTGCCCGAGGGCCCGGGGTCAGTAGGGATGCCCCTGGCACATTTTTTCATAGGCTTTTGTGGGTGGGGTTTGAGTTTGGGGCGAGGACATGGGCCCCATGATCCCCTATTGCCCAGAGGCCCCATGAGTTGTCAGTCCGCCCCTGGGCGGGGAGGAGCTAGGAGTGCTGTCGGGGGACCTGTGAAGAGTAGGATCTCCCTGCTCTGTGCAGTCATTACACAGAGCAGGTAAGTATAACTTGTTTGTTATTTTGGTGAAACAACTGGGAAGTTTTAGTATTGCCTTAATGCCTGAATGCAGTTTTCAACTTTGGCATGTTCTAGTAAATCTGCACATATTCTCAAAACTGCAAGGTGCCAATTTACTAAACCTGGAGAGTGCAAAATCTGGTGCAGCTCTGCATGGAAACCAATCAGCTTCCAGATTTTTTGGCAACGCTTCATGAACAAGCTGAAGTTAGAAGCTGATTGGCTGTCATTCACAGCTGCACCTGATTTTGCACTCTCCAGTTTTAGTAAATCAACCACACAGTGTATCTGGGTGTATTATTTTTAGGATAACTTGGGCCTTAACTTAGTGGTAAATGGTAATGAATATCTCCAGATTTTATTTCATTATCAAAGGAAAACTGGACCAAAATAGAGAAAAAAATATATTTTTTTTAAATGTAACTGTATATGTTTTTATCCATAGTTAAGCCCAAAAACAATATTAAGCATTTTGTTTTTTTTGTATCCTGCATACATTCTGACATTGAGCTCTGACCTTTACCTTTGGTCCTGACCTTGACCCTAACATATTAATATTTACAGTATATATTTTTTACATAGTTAGTCTGGCTGAAAAAAAGACAAACTTCCATCCAGTTCAATCATTAAAAAAAAAAAAAAAAAAAAAAGTTATAATCCTATACCCACAGTTGATCCAGAGGAAGGCAAAACAACCCAGCAAAACATGATCCAATTTGCTCCTGCAGGGGAAAAAAATCCTTCCTGATCCCCCGAGAGGCAATCGGATATTACCTGGATCAACTTTATACTGTTTTTTTTTTTTACAAATTTTTTCCATCTGGCTAGGAAGGAAAGAGATATAATATATCTTTTTTTTCATTCAGAGAAGAGAGTACAGGGCTGGGTTTTATGAGTGATCATTGTAATAGCCAACCACAGGTCATTGCGGTGATCAGGAGTAAGTCCTTACTGCTCCTGACCATTAGTACAGGACCAGGAGCTGTTGATGGCAGTACAGTCTCAATGCAACAGAGTGGCTATGTGGTTAGCAATTTCAACTAGCAGCACAATGGTTGTTGGTTCAAATCACAACCACGACACTGCCTGCCTGGAGTTTACATGTTTTCACTGTGTCTGTGTGGGTTTCTTTCAGATACTCTCCCACACCCCAGAGATACGGTGGTGGGTTAACTGGCTCCTCTCTAAATTGGCCTTAGTATGTGTATGTATGAATGTGAGTTAGGGACCTTAGATTGTACGCCCCTTGAGGGTTAGGGACTGATGTGAATGTACAATATACAAGTGCATCTCAATATATTAGAATATCATCAAAAAGTTAATTTATTTCAGTAATTAAATTCAAAAAGTGAAACTTTATGCATACCATAGTTTTTGCTTCATAAGATGCACCTGACCATAAGACGCACCTAGGTTTTAGAGGAAAACAAGAAAAAAATATTCTGAACCAATGGACTGCAGACATACTACAGGAGATGACCAGAGACTGCAGACACAGTACAGGAGATGACCAGAGACTGCAGACACAGTACAGGAGATGATCAGAGACTGCGGACATAGTACAGGAGATGACCAGAGACTGCGGACACAGTACAGGAGTTGACCAGAGACTGCGGACACAGTACAGGAGTTGACCAGAGACTGCGAACACAGTACAGGAGTTGACCAGAGACTGCGGACACAGTACAGGAGTTGACCAGAGACTGCGGACACAGTACAGGAGATGACCAGAGACTGCGGATGTCAGGGCTCCCGGTATGACCAGAGGTGTGTGGACGGACACAGGGAAACACAGGCTTCAGATATGGTATAAATAAGACAATTTATTAAGACTAACAATACAAATATAAATGCAGTGCACCAAACCCCAAGCTAACACAAATACATACAACAAGGTGAAACAAACCCAAACCTAAACTGATATAGATACACAGGTATATACACATATAGAGCACAATGTAGTCAGGCAGGCCGGGTCGATAACTATTGGGCAGGTAGGTACAGGAGGAGCAGACGGAGAGAATGGTCAGGGTCACAAGCCAGGGATCAAACAGGAGAAGTCAGCAGAGGTCAGGATCAGGCAGGGTCGGCAACAAGTCAGGCAGAAACAGGAACAGGAATGCAGGTTACAAGATACAGGGGCCCATGGAAAAACACACACCAAGGCCCTGACTGTGAGTCTGGTCATTCCTTAAATACAATCCGTAATCAGCTTCAGGTGTTTGGCTGACTGCAGGGTTGAGTCTCTGATTGCTGAGAGCACCCGCTGGCCAGCCCTGGTACTGCAGCCCACAAGGCAGGTGAGTCCCACCATTATTGGCAAGTCCATTCCTGACAGCGGACACAGTAGAGGAGATGACCAGAGACTGCGGACACAGTACGGGAGATGACCAGAGACTGCGGACACAGTACAGGAGATGACCAGAGACTGCGGACATACTACAGGAGATGACCAGACACAGTGTCAGAAGTGTCTTACCTGGGCTGAGGAGAAAAAGGACTGAACTGTTGCTCAGTGGTCCAGCAAACTCGCCTGACCTAAACCCCATAGAGAATCTGAGGGGTATTGTCAAAAGGAAGATGAGATACACCTGACCCAACAATGCAAATGAGCTGAAGGCAGCTATCAAAGTAACCTGGGCTTCCATAACACCTCAGCAGTGCCGTAGGCTGATCGCCTCTATGCCATGCCGCATTGATGCAGTTATTCATGCAAAAGAAGCCTTGACCAAGTATTGAGTGCATACTATACTGTACATGGACATACTTTTCAGTAAGCCAACATTTCTGTATAAAAAATCCTTTTTTTTATTTGGTCTTATGTAATATTAAAATTACTGTTACTGAATTTTGGGTTTTCAATAGTGATGGGCCGAACACCCCCTGGTTCGGTTCACTGTAGAACATTTGAAGATACCAAACATTTGCCACGAACATCGATCCTAATGCAAGTCTATGGAACTCGAACTTGCAAATTCAAAAGTGCCCATTTTGAAGGCTTATATGCAACGTATTGGGCATTGAAGGTGTATGGAGACCCGGGTACTGCCCTGAGGGACATGAATCAGTGAAAAAACATTTCCAAACAGTACTGTTTTTAAAGGGGCAGTCATTTTCCATTGCTTAAAGTAAAAGAAAATTCAGAAAAAATTCCTTTAAATATCATTACTGGGGTGTCCCCTTAAACTACCTGCAAAGTTGCACATCTGTACAATGTATAGAACCTGCTGCAGCAGGACTTACACCATGACCCTTCCAAGTAATTCTTGCAGAGTGCAGGATTGGACCCCGCTCTAAAAATTCTAATTTTATGCACCTGTCATACAGGTGTAGAAAAATTGGGCCTTGGGTGTTGGTGGTGCCTGCCTGAACAGTGTAACTCCTCACAGTTACTATTGCTGGGCACAGAAATGGGCCCTGCAGTTAAAAATTGTTAACAATTAGAGAAAAATGGTGAAAAATTTAAATTTGATGCACCTGTCAAACAGGTGCAGAAAAAGTGGGCCTTGGGTGTTGGTGGTGCCTGAGCACTGTAACCCCTCACAATAATCTTGCTGGGTGCAGGCATAGGCCCTGCAGTTAAAAATTGATAACAATTACAGAAAAATGGTAGAAAAAATTGAAATGACATGCACCTGTGAAACAGGTGCCCCAAACCAAAAACAATTGTTGGAAGCTTCAAAAGATCCCAGATCTCTAACAAATGTAATCAGTTATATCAGCATCAGGGGCAAGATAGTTGCTGTTGATCCAGGACTGATTCATTTTGATAAATGTCAGCTGGTCAATGGAGTCTGTGGACAGACGTACTCTTTTATCTGTCACAAAACCTCCAGCAGCACTGAATGTCCATTCGAAAAGCATGCTGGATGCAGGATAGGCCAGTAACTTGATGACATATTTAGTAAGTTCTGGCCAGTGATCCATCCTCAAGACCCAATTACCCAGAGGATGCTCAGTTGGAAAGGTCTCCAAGTCTACTCTTGCCCCTAGATAATCCTGCACCATATGATGCAGATGCTGTCGATGGGTGCTTAATTCTAGCAACCCTTGGCGCTGAAGACTAAATAACCGTTTAAAGGCATTGGTCAGCCGGCCACCTTCCCCACCTCTCTTCCTTTGACAGAAAAGCCTCAGAAACACATTGTCTGGGAAATGGTAACCTCCCATTGTC